TCATCTAGGCCACTGATGAAGATGTTAAATAGCACCGGCCCAAGGGCTGAGCCTTGGGGGACCCCACTCCCCACATCTTTTGAGGTCAATACTGACCTGTCCACCACCACTCTCTGGGTATGACTTTTAAGCCAATTTGCCACCCACATGACTATGTAGTCATCTATGGCACAGCCGTTCAATTTGTTTATAAGAATTGGATGGGATACCATGTTGAAGGCCTTCTTAAAGTCCAAGTCGATGACATCTACCTCTACTCCTGCATCTAAGCTTTTAGTAACCTGGTCATAGAAAGAAACAAGGTTAGTCAGGCAGGATCGACCCGTTATGAACCCATGCTGGTTGCCTTTCAACATTATATTACCTGCTGGACTCCTGCATATGTGATCCTTGATAATTTTTTAAGGATTTTCCCAAGAATAGAGGTGAAACTAACTGACCTATAGTTACTTGGATTCTCCTTCCTCCCCTTCTTGAAAATAAGGATCACATTGGCCTTTTTCCAGTCCTCTGGGACTTCACCTGAGCACCAGGAGTGCTCTAACAGATGTGCTAGTGGCTCTGCTATGACACTGGCTAATTCTTTCAGCACCCTTGGATGAAACTTATCCGGTTCTGCTGATTTAAACACATCAAGCCCCTCCAAGTGTCTCTTTACTAGGTCGGTGCTGACAGTTGGTGAGCTGGTGTTTCTTCTGCTTCTGTCAGTAATGCATTTGGGAGATTTGTCTAGATATGAGTTCAAGAATACAGAGGCAAAAAACTCATTGAAGAGCTCTGCTTTGTTCCTCCTATCTGCCACCAACTGCCCTTGTCTATCCTGTAGGGGTCCTATGCTACCCTGCGACTTCTTTTTGCTTTCTGTATACCTGAAAAAGGACTCTTTGTTGTCTTTAATTTTTGTTGCCAGCCTGAGTTCTAATGCTGCTTTGGCCTTCCTAACTAATTCCCTGCAAGTGTGAGCTAAGGAGGTATACTCCTCCTTGGTAGCTACCCCCTGCTTCCACAGCCTGTATGCCCCTTCTTTTGCCTTTTAGGCTTTCCTGGATTTCTCTGTTTATCCAGGAGGATTTATTGGCCCCTTTGCCCCCTTTTCTATGCAGTGGGATTGCCGCCTCCTGTGCCTGAAGGATCACTTCCTTGAGGAACCACCACTCTTCCTGGACCCCCATTTTGTCACTGCTCTTGAACTTTAATGCCCACTCACTAATCTCCTAAGTATACTGACGTCAGCCTTTCTGAAGTCTAGCACCTCTGCCCTGCTGATTTACTTTTCCCGCCGTTCACTGCATAGTGAATTCAATGAACTGAAGGTGTTGCCTGCAAACAGGAGTGCAAGTTCCTCCTGCTTGTTCCCCATGCTCATTGCATGAGTCTAGAGACATTTAAGCCCCCCAGTGGGTGCCCTTGCTTACCCCCCTGTCCTGATGCCTATTGGGCCCCTTGGTGCTTACCTGGGCTGATCCACTGCATGGCTTGTGGTTCTCTAAACCTTGTCCACTGCATCCCCGTCCCCCGGTGAACCTAGTTTAGAGCCCTTCGGAGGAGATCAGCCAACCTGTGAGAGAACAAGAAAGATGAAGACCATCTCGGGATACCTCAGTCATGGAAGTGCGGATTGTGGTTGTAGAAGCCGAAACTCGCACAATGGCACCAACTCCAGAACTGCAGGTTGACTTCTCTGATGCAGGTGTCTTGGTGTTGACAGTGACTGTTGACTGAGAGGATCGATGAGAAGACTACCTGTGCCACCAACTTCCTAAACCCGGCCCCCAGAGCCTTGTAGTCGCTCATGATGTGGTCCGGACTACTCCTGACTGCATCATTCATGCCCCCATAGACATTTTATTAAAATGTATAGTAACTTTGAAAAGCCCAAACTAATGGGTTATGGAGAGTGTGTGCTTTTCTGTATGGCACCTTGACGCCATATTCAGTGTTACTGGCATGGGAAATTGGTTCTGTGAATGCTCTTGCTGGGACATAGGAAGCTCCTAGCCTTTAACTTTCCTTCTTGCCATGACATATACCAACGCTTACCTAGGCAACTCAGTGTTAGTAATTTTCAATTGTGCCCAAAGATCTTAAGTTAGGTGGTTGTACAAATGTTGCCAAGTGTTGTGCAAATATTTTTATTGTACCAAGCATTGTACAAATACTTTCAAATATTTGGGGTCTTCCCCTGAAGAACTTCATAGCTGAAGTCAAGAGACCCACAAAGAGCAACATGAGGGATATTAGAATCAGAAAATTAGGGTTGGAAGGGACCTCTGGAGGTCATTTAGTCCATCCCTCTGCTCAAAGTAGGACCATCCCCAACTAGACCATCCCAGCCAAGGCTTTGTCCAGCCAGGTCTTAAAAACCTCCAAGGATGGAGACTCCACAACCTCTCTGGATAACCTGTTCCAGTGTTTTACTACCCTCCTAGTGAGAGAATTCTTCCTAACATCTAACCTAAACTTCCTTTGCTCCACCTTGAGACCATTACTCCTTGTTCTGTCATCTGATACCACGGAGAACAGTCTAGCTCCATCCTCTTTGTAACCCCCCTTCCGATAGCTGAAGGCTGCTATTAAATCCCTTCTCAGTGTTGTCTTCTCTAGGCTAAATAAGCCCAGTTCCCCTCAGTGTCTCCTCAGAAGTCTTATGCTGCAGCCTCTTCACCATTTTTTTTGCCCTTTGCTGGATTCCTTTTGGCCCAATCCTCCAATTTGTCTAGGTCACTCTGAATCCTAGCCCTACCCTCCAGCATATCTATTATTGCCCCCAGCTTGGTATTATCTGCAGACTTGCTGAGGATGCACTCTTTTTCCATCTTCATTGTTGATGAAGATCTATTGAACAAAGCCGGCCCCAGGACTGACCCCTTGGGCACCCCGCTTTATACCAGCTGCCAAGTAGACATTGAGCTATTGATTACAACCCTCTGAGCCCAATGCTCCAGCCAGTTTTCTGTCTACCTTACAGTCTATTCATCCAGCTTGTAGTTCCTTAGCTTGCCTGTGAGAATGTTGTGGGAGACTGTATCAAAAGCCTTGCTAAAATCAAGGTATACCACATCCACTGGTCTCCCCACATCCACACAGCCAGTTACCTAGTCATAGAAGGCAATCAGGTTGGTCAGGCATGACTTGCCTTTGGTGAATCCATGCTGACTGTTCCTAATCACTTTCTTTTCCTCCAAGTGCTTAGAAATGGATTTCTTGAAGACCTGCTCCATGATTTTTGCAGGGACTGAGATGAGGCTGACTAGTTTGTAGTTCCCTGGATCTTCCTTTTTCCTTTTCTTAAATATGGGCACTGTTTGCCCTTTTCCAATCATCTGGGACCTCTCCTGTTCACCATGAGTTTTCAAAGGTGATGGCCAGCGGCTCTGCAATCATATCAGCCAGCTAGCTCAGCACCCTCAGGTGCATCCTGTCCAGCCCCGTGAACTTGTATATGTCCAGCTTTTCTAAATAGTCCTTGACCTGTTCTTTTGCCACTGTTGGATGCTTACCTCCTCCCCAAACTGCTGCTAGATGCAGTAGTCTGTGAGCTGACCTGGCTTGTGAAGACTGAGGTGAAAAAGGCATTGAGTTATTAAGCCTTTTCTGTATCCCTATTCAGTAAAGGACCCACACTTCCTTCATCTTCCTCTTGTTACTAACATTCTTGTAGAAACCCTTTTGTTACCCTTCACAGCCTTGGCTTGCTGCAACTCCAATTGCACTTTGGCGTTCCTGACTTAATACTTGCATGCACAAGCAATACTCTTATACTTCCACCCCCGCCTCAGTTGTTTGTTCAATTTTCCACTTATAAGCTTCCTTTTTGCGGTTTAGCTCACTGAAGAATTCCCTTCTAAGCCATGCTGGTCTTCTGCCATACTTGCTAGTCTTCCTTTTTCAGGATGGTGTGTTCCTGCATTCTCAGTAAGGCTTCTTTAAAGTACAGCCAGCTCTCCTGGACTCCTCTCCCCCTCACACTGGCTTCCCAGGGGATCCTTCCCATGAGTTTCCTGAGTGAGTCGAAGTCTGCTTGTCTGAAATCCAGGGTCCTTACTCTGTTGCTCTCCATCCTTCCTTTCCTCAGGATCCTGGACTCAATCATCTTGTGGTTGTTACTGCCCAAGTTGCCATCTAGCAAGTTTTATGAATTTGCTGCCCTAAAAATAGGGAATGCCAGTTGTCCTCCCCTGTGCAAAGAGCAATAAATCCATTGGGAAAAACAAGCACTATGTGCAAATTACCTAATTTTGGACACAACACAAACAGTACTTCTGTTGCAACCCAGTGTACATGAAGGAATTGTCGGTTCCAGCTGAGGTGTGCTGTAGAGATGAAAAAAGGCAGTTTGTAGAAATAAAGAAAAATCTGTGATAATGACTTAGGATGTTTTGTTTTTCCTTATACCTTTCAACTAAAACATCTTCCCAATTGCAGCTTTTTGGTGTTGCTTCATAGATCTACTCTAAGCTTTAAATACTCTCCCCAGGGAGCAGCAGATATTTGACCCTTGGTCTGGGGAAGATCAGTGCTTTTAAATGCTGGAGTAAAATGTCAATACATGATAAAAAATCTGTGACCACTGTAGTTCATGTCCAAATTATGGCAAATTACAGGATTCACTAACTTTGCAAAATAAGTCATACTGGTAATGCTGAACAAATCAGTTATGTTTCACTGTGATACCTAATACTTAGTTGTGTCTACTTCTCCATCAGACTAAAAATGGCAGGCTTTTTAAATTAATTACAGAACAGGTAAATATATCAAACTGCGTTCTACCCTCAAAGAGAGAGACATTTATGCCTTTTAAATATAAAAAAAAAAAAAAAGCAGTGCCCTGCCAAAGAGAAATGATTTCTTTCCTGTTAAAGGAAATTGTTCCCCAAGATGCAACAAATGCCTTTTTGATGAAGGTTGCTTTTGCATTTGAAAAAAAAAATGTAGAAAAACCTCTAGAGATGGTGAATAATAAACATAATCTGGTGTGTATTTTGCTTTTTTTTTAATAGGTTGAAAATCCAGTAGACGACTTCTCTGTAGCTGATATAAAAGCAGTGGATGAAATGCACATTACTTTAGGACCTGAGAAATTGCCTTGTGCCTCTTCATTTGCTCCAGATGATGGCCAGTTGCCTTTTGTTGGACAAATGGAGATATTGCAAGATTCTCAGACTGCAGTTCCAGCTGCTGATGAATTATTGTTGACTTTAAAAGCTGAGAAATCTCCTCCTACTTGCATCACAGTTGACCAGCTTCATGATGATTTGCCTGTTAGTCCTTCAGATTACAGAATTCTGTGTGGTATTGAAAAATGTGTTGGCAAAGAGATAAGCCTTATTCCTGATGATGATGATGGTTTGCCACCTCTCTTGCTTGGCATGAGAGAAAAAGGAGAAGGTAAAACATGAGCAGGGGGTGTTTGTGTTTAATCAGTGGATACATAGTTTTTAAAAAATACATGAACCTCTGCATACACTGACATGCCATGAGCAGAGTTCACCTTTTTGAAAAAAAATTCTTGGGCCATATACTGTGTTTACCCAAATCCAAGATGACTCCCCAATAATTAGATTCTAGACATGGAAAAGTGGAAAAAAATGTGTTATGTCTAGAATCTAGTGGGTTTTTTTTTTTTTGAAGAGTTGCCCAGCTTCCCTCTTTCCCTCCTTCCCCTCACTGCCAGCTCCATGGCTGGGCTGCAGCTACAGGCAGCACATGTTTTGTGCTTCTTGACCCTGGCCAGAGTAGGGCCTCAACAGAAGCTAGAGCTGCAAGGGAAAGGTGAGCAGAGGCTGTGGGGTGGGGGTGGGCAGCATCTGCATCTGTACTTCCAACTCCAACCCTGGGCCTTTGAGTTAGAGTTGCAGCTGCAGTTGTGTGCCTCCTGCCCCTGTGTCATCGTCCCGTTCCCCCCCTCCCTCCGCCCCATTTCTAATCTAAGGTGAGGTGGTATTTTCCTGAAGTTAAATGGGGATGTGACGGAGTGCACACCTGTCACTTTCAGAAGGGAAGAGGCTGCATGGGAAGTAGCATGCGATTGTGGCAGGGGCCAGTTAGGGTCACTTGACCAGACAGATGCCAGGCTTGAAGCATATAAGCCTACGGCCTGAACTAGCCAGGCAGTCTTGGCCCAAGAACCATGCTGAGAGGAGCTCTTGGGCAGCAAGGCTCCTGGGGTAACGTCTGAACTGGGGTAAGCAACTCTGAGGTTTGAGGAAGGGACTAAGGGGAAGAGGAGGTTCCCAAGAGGCCTGGGAACACAGAATAGAGAGCTTGGGACATGGCAGGAGACTGAGTCTAGGAGGTGAGTGTAAGCCAGGCCAAAGAGCCTGGAGGTCTGTAGCCTGGAGAGGCCAGGTGTCAACAGGGCCAGGGAGCCCAAAGGTCTCACTGGCCTAGGAGCGGGCCCAGAGCAAGAGGCCCACTCTTAGGGATCACAGCCAGAGACTGAAGGGGGCCAAGGAGCCTAAAGCCCTTGAGGGGTGAGGACTGGGACTGGGACCCATAGCCCAGGAGGGCAATGTCAACAGGAATGAATATCATCTGTAAGGCATGGATGTGATGTAAGGGTTGGTTAGAGCCATGTAATTGGATCTTAAGGTGGAGAGCAGAGACACCTGATATCTGGAGCCCAAGCTCAAGCTTGGGAAGCCCTAGGGCAGACTCCCCTTATCTAAAACAGTGGCCCCCAACCGTCAATCTTGATCAACCAGTTGATGGGGGATCCTCTTCTGAGCTGGGGGGGAGGGGGGCATGCATGTGCCCCTGCCCGCCAGCCCAGCAGGGCTGTCTGGGTGAGGGAAAGGGTGAGGGCCAGATTGAGGCCCCCACAGTTAGGGAGGAAGGGGGCTTACATTGCTATGGCAGAGGCAGCTGCTGCTGTGCCTCAAGCCCTGCTGCAGCTGGCCACCCGTGGGCATGGTTTAGCCCAGCAGTGGGATGCATATGGCATGCAGATGCTCCTGGACCAGCTGCAGTGGTGCTCGGAGTGCAAAGGCCAGCCTGCAATGGCAGCTGCCTCCGCCATGCACAGATCTGGGGGGTACATGCCCCCTGCAACATGGGGCAGTGGGAGTGGCTGCAGCAGCGGTGAGGGAGGGAGTGGAGCTGGGGCAGGTTGGGATGGGGGGGGTCGTGGAACCTGGGAGAGCACGGGGGTATGTGACCCTGGATCTGCAGGCAGGGTGGGTTGCAGCTGCTAGCTGGGGCTGCGCTCTTCATGGTGTGGGCGCTGGGCAATGATGCACTCTGGCCAGGTGGCAGTGTGGGGAGCGGGGCTACGGGGGGCTGGAGCCACCTGAAAATTTGTTGTAGCCCCACCAGCCCCTTTCCCAGTACCACCATCTCCCGCCCTGAGTGAAGCACGGCCCAGCCTCTGCCAGGAAGAGCCCAGCATTGCCTCCCAGTCCCTTTTTCCCTCCCCCCCACCCCCCCAAGGGCATGGGGACCACGTGCCTGGGATCTCCAGGGTGGGGCAGCTGCCACTGCAGACTTTGGCTGGGATGTGGTGCTGCTGGGAGGAGGGTTGGGGGGGCTACAGCAAATTTTTGGCTTGCTGCAGTCCACCTGCCCCAGCCCTGCTCCCAGTCTTACTACCACCCGGCCTGAGTACAGCGTGGCCCATCCTGCAGGCCCAGAAGAGCTTGGCCCCAGCTGGCAGCTCCAGCCTGCCCTGCCCTGCCTCTGTGCAGATGTGGGGGCACGTGTACCCTTGCCCTTCTGGGTGTATGTCTTCCCCTTCCTGCACCACCCAGACGAGCTGCTCACAGCTCTGTCCTGCCTGCCCCTGCCCCCTCCCTCACCACTGTTGGGGGGGGGCGGAGTTTGAGGCCCCAGCAGTTAGGGAGAAGTAGAGCTAGGGCTGGGGCCTCTATCTACCCCATCACCCCCCACAGTCCTTCCCCCTCCCCTGGTCCCTTACTCCACAGACTTATCTGCTGGGGTGGCACACCCCCCAAATAATTTTTTCTGCCTCAATCTGCCCCGCAACTTCCTTCCCCACAGACTTTACCTGCTTGGGGGAGGGGGTGGCACACAATACATCTTGGGTTGCTTTTAAAATTCCAAAAGTGATCTCCTACTCAAAGGTTGGAAACCACTGATCTAAAAGATAAATACCTCAAGGCATAGCAGGCAAGTGAAGGGGTGATTGCTCAAAGAGTGAAGTGCATATGGTGTGAGGGGGTCCCGGGGATGTCATGGCCACTCCTGGAATGAAACCCTGCTATGGGGTGGTGGGGAGGGGAGGGGGAGAAGAAAACTGTCTTAGATTTGCGTAAATACAGTATATTATATACTACTTTAATGTTCGATGTACCATATTTTGCTTATTTGTTGTCTACTTGTAAAGACAAATGCACAGTTCTTTGGCTACTTAGTAGTTGTGTAATATTAACAATTTATCTTTTTTTAATCTGACAGATTTCAAGTAACATTTCATGCATTTTATGGTCTGTGTGGTTGTTTAGACATAAGGGAAACATACTAGCTGTTATATTTAACCAAACCATATTTTAATTTATTTAGGTCCTGTAGTGGAAGAACACCCATCTCAGCAGCAGGTCACTTCACTTCTCTCTGAAGGAGGACTGAATCCATTAACATTTATCCTAAATGCAAACTTCCTTGTGAATGTGAAGTTACTTTCTTGTAAGTAGTATGTTTTCTTCTGTACAGCTGTGTTTTCCATAATATTTTGTATTGAGAATAAATAAGAATTCTCTTGATTATGTTGTGCTACTCAAATGAGCATGCTGCTTTTCTGAAGCATTACTGTATAGGTTTCTTGATTATATTTTTGTTAGTGCTGCTCGATTAGACTTTTTTATCAGTAGACTTCAGGCTGTGGCGAGTCTGAGGTATACATAGTGGATTTCTTGGTACATAAATTACAGAGTATTCAAATCTTTGTGTGACATGACTGAGATCGTAATGTCCATAAACTTGCTGCATACTTATTAACATAAAAAGAACTGACGGAGACATCATATGTGTTTATTTACAGACATGGACGCCTGCAAAGGAAGACTCTAGTGTAACGTTTTGCAATAAAAGACTTTGCAGTAAAGACTTCCAGCTGTTACCTTAAGTAGAACATACAGTTCAGTCAAAGCCCCTATCACATCAGTGTTCCGTAGCTGCTTGTTAACAAGCTGTCTTTTTCCATAATAGCCGTGGAACAAGCTACAACTTTATTCCCTTTCATGCTTCTGCAGATAATATGGCCTAACCAGACTCTCATTATGAGAGTTATTCTCTGTGCTAAATACTGGGTTAGGAAAAGCTTTATAAAACCCCTTTTTTCCTAAAGAGAGCATTTGGTAAGAGCACTGAAAGAACTTAAACAGTAAATCATTTTCAAATCTTTGATTCCAGTGTTTTATACTATAATTAGTAAATAATTAATTACATAATTCTTCTCTTTAAGATTCTCTGGAAAAGTGCTGGTACTTCTCAACAAATGGATTACATAGCTTGGGTCAGGCAGAAATTATCATTTTATTGCTGTGTTTGCCAAATGAAGATGCTGTTCCTAAAGAAATCTTCAGATTGTTTGTTGACGTATATAAGAATGCAATGAAAGGTAGGGAATTTTAATAAATAGCTTTAAAATGTTCATGTCTTATTGCTGAGCTCCAAAAGGCAACTTTCTTGGTGTTGCATTTAATTTTGCTTTAGAGAAGTTCTGATACTTGAGAGAGATTTCCTCTGTCGCTTTTATTGTCTTTCTGCTTCAAATTCTAATTCAGTAATTGACACCTTTTTAAGATAATAGCCTCAAAATGGCCTTTTTTATCCACCTTTCTTTTCTTATTTTATTTTTAACAGTAATATTTTAATGTATTGGGATTATAGATATAAATACTTTGAGCCTCAGGTTAGGAAAACATTTCAGGATAGCATGTGCTTTCATGTTGTTCTTAATTTTCAAAAACATGCTACTTGTACATAAATTGGACCAACATTTTGTGAAGTATATTTAATTGTTAATAATTTACACTTTTTTTTCAAACTGAACTTATTAAAGCAACAAAGCCAAAACTAAATATCTTGGTTGTACCAGAGCTGGTAGTTTGAGACCAAATTCATTGCACTTGGCACTTCAGTAAGTGGTTGCTTTTAATATGTAATCTCTTCAGTGCAGTGAACCAAACTGTATGTATTAAAGCAGTAGGGGGGCAGATGTTTGTATATTGGGTGTTTTTAAAAGGATTCATGAGAGAGACCATGTTAGCAGAGCAATAGATTTCTTCCAAATACTACTGTGTGAGAGTGCTTCTACTTTAAATGTTTAGTTATGTGAAGTTAATTATTCCTTTCTCTTGCTAGGAAAATTCATAGGAAATTTGGAAAATTTTACCTTTACTGAAAGCTTTCTTGGTAACAGAGATCATGGAGGGTTCCTGTTTGTTACGCCAACTTTTCAGAAACTTGACGATCTCACGTTACCAAATAATCCTTTCCTTTGCGGCATTCTTATTCATAAGCTGGAAATACCATGGGCAAAGGTTTTTCCAATTCGTTTAATGTTGAGACTGGGAGCAGAATATGGAGGTGAGTTCTACTAGACTTGCTTATTGAGGCCTCAAGTGTGCTGAGATTATGTACAAGTATAATTTAACTTTGCATGCTGAGGCAATCCAGTAGTTTCAGAACATAGATATGTCTGATCCTGCAAAGGCTTGTTGCTTAAGTTTTTTTGTAGTTCACATCCTAAATAGATCTTAAAACATATCTGCATCAATACAATTCAAATTCTATCTTGCTGGATTCATGGGTGACTGGTGCTTCCCGAGTCTGGAGGGGCACCAGATCACTGATGGGGAGGTCCCCCAGTGGCGCTCGCCAAGCCAGCAACGAAACCAGAAGTGCACTTTTGGTTTTGCAGCTTGCACTTCTAGGGGGTGCACGTGCACCTCCGTGCACCCCTACATGTTTCCAATGGCTGGTTGCTTCTTGAAACACTGTTAACTTACTTCCCTGACACTCTTACATGCTATGGCAGTGGCTCTTAATTGAGGGGCCCTAAAACCCTTTCAGGAGTGCCTCGCCACAGACACACAAACACCACAGCAACCAGGTGCAATAACCTCACAGCCAGATCAGGAAGGAATGCAGCACAAACATGTGTTCCTTGCCTAGATTCAGGTTATTGGATAAACTGAAAGGAAGGCAGTAGTTGGGCTGCAGCCCTTCCCAGTCTGACCCTTCCCTCCTCTCCCCCCATTCTGGTCCTGGAAACAAAGGCACATGGGGCAGTTAGAACTGTTCTGTGTAGGTTTGTTTCCATTCAGGAGGAGCATGGTTGTGGGGAGGGGGTACTGAACTGGGAAGGGCTGCGGCAAGACTGCATTCTCTTGCCTGCTTTAGGCTTCTCTGGTTGTGCACAAAGTGCATGGGACAGTTCCACCTGGCTGTGGTGGCTGTGGCAGCAGTGACAGCACCCCAGTGAGTACCACTGAAGTAAACTGATGCAGTACAGCAGTGGTTCTTTACCAGGGTGCTGCCACATTTTTAAAAAAAAAACAACAAAAAACTGTATGGACAGAGGGTTTTCCTGAATCTAAAAAGTTTGAGAATCCCTGGGCTGTGGTTTGTCCCATTACACACTCCCAGATACATATAGTTATCTTGTTATGGATTACAGACTTGACTAAATCTTTTTGGGCATATATAGACGTGCTCCAGGGTGGAAGGGACGGGGGGGGGCGCGTTTTAATTACAGCAGCTCTGGGAGTTGCTGTAATTAAAGTTCCCATAGCCTCGCATGTGTTCAGTGTCCGTGCTTCAAAATGGTGGCAGGTGCACTTTAACTAAAGCTTGTCAAACAAGCTTTAGTTAAAGAACCTCTGCTGCTAATTTGAAATGTGGGGACGCTGAGTACATGAGACATGGAGACTGCTGGAGTGCAGTAATTAGCATGTTCCAGCAGACTCTACTCTGATGTGTGCCAGTTAGCATGTGTCAGAGCAAAGGTGCCCTTTGGTTTTGGCAACATTTGGAGCCTTTATCTAGGATAGACAGAGTCTTTAGGGAGTGACGAAGAGATGTGAAACTAATAAAAATTTTTAGACTTATTTTATTCTGGAAACTTGTTTGTCCTGCTTGGCCAGTATACAGTATAAATAAATGTTTATGCATTTACAAAGTACTTTCAAAAGGGTTGGATAAACATCTTGAATACTTTCTAGATTACCAGGTTTAATATTTGTGAAGTGTTTTTAAAAAGTACTTATTATGAGTGGCTTATTAACCAAAACCTAATATTAGTGTCTAATATATAATCTGGGTTTAAATTCTTCAGCTTGTTTTCCTTCTTGGTAATTAGCAATCCTTTCTGTTGAAAGGATACTTGTTTTTCAGTGTCCGTTATTGCATAAACTGTGACTTCCAGATGTTCAAAATAGGATAGGAGGACCTACTTACACAAATGATGCTGATTAGTTGTGCAGTTAAATCCTTGTTTGTTGTGGAGTTGGTCACCTTTCTTGCAAAGCACAAGGGAGACAACAGCTGCGTCTACACAATGCGAACCTTTTTATGGTTCTCCTCACTTCCAGTGGCTGGTGCCCTCTCATGTTCAGTACATAAGTCTTGTGTTGCTTAGGGTTAACAAAGATACTTTCTTAATGCTTGATGACTTTCTTTTGTCCAGTGAGTGTGGATGCCTGCCATTCTGTATAAACTATAAAATTAAAAAGCTAATTAAACATGTGAAAGCAAGCATTTGGGTTAGACATTTGCATATTTGCATGCATAAATATGATTATACTCCATGTAACAAGTGTTTGTTTGTTTTCCCCCCCCCCCCCTTTTTAAAAGTATACCCAACTCCTGTAATGAGTATCAGACACCGGAAACCTCTCTTTGGAGAGATAGGGAACACAATCATGAATTTACTTGTTGTGAGTAAACGTTTTAAACTTTTTTTCTTCCCAATTTCAGTTAAGATATGTATGAGTGTGAAATACTAACTAGAATTTTAATATGCTTCCATAAGATGGAGTCTTACAAAAATTACCCTAATAGTTAATTTAGTGAGTATGTCCTTATGCCATAGGCTTTTAGTGCAAATTGTATATTTCAGAGTGTATTCTACCATTGGATTTAGTTAAAATAATGCAACTTTTTTGTTTGCTCCTTTAAAAAAAATTGGTTTGTATGGATCAGTTTTTTCAGTATGAAACCTGTAGAAAATTGTTGGGTTCCTTGCTATCCCCAGGCATTTAGGAGACTGAGGATGTTGTAGAGGTAATGTGTTCTCATCCCGATTTAATTGTCAATCATGCCATGCTTTGTGAGCCAGAGCATCTCCCCTTCTCTAGTTCCACCCTGGCTCCTCTAGCACACCAGGAGCTTGGAAGAGCAGGGAGAAGGCAGCTTCCCTGGAGCATGACATTTTGCCCCACAACAAAGCCTACATACAGGGGCATACTCAACAGCAAAAAGTAGCAGCACATTTGTGCAGGCAAAAATACAGTAGGGATAAAGTATAATTACATCTAATATAAGATACAGTAATGTTCAGATGGGTTTTTTTTAATTTTCTCATACACATCTTAAAACTGCTAACATGACTTCAATTCAGCTGAAATTTGGGGTATTTTAGATGGTTAATGGTAATTATTACCTTACTGTGACTGTCCCACAAAATTTGTATCAACTTGGGGGGAAAAAAAAAAAAAGAAAGACATTTAACTTTTTTTGTTATGGTCCAATCCTAGTGTGGACAAGGAAGATGTAATTTAAAAAGGCATTTAACAGGTCAGGATAAGTGCTAGTAAGTAACAAATTTACACTGGTTGGCCCATACTATAATTTACTGTAACATATAAAGAGAAATCACTTTTTTCCTGCTGCATGTCACATGTACACACAGAGAACAGGTCACATGTACACACAGAGAACACATCTTCAAATGGAGATTCATTTAGCTCCAAATCTGGAAACGAATGCAAAGATTTGATGGCTGGATTTTAAGTGATTTCATATTTCTAGAAATGGTGGGATGAATATGCTTAAAACTTGTTGCTGAACATTCAACTGTTTGTTAATATGAAGGATGTGTTTTTTTTTGTTTGTTTTTTTTTTTTTAATTATAGGACCTTAGAAACTATCAATATACCTTACATACCATAGATAACTTATTTATTCACATGGAAATGGGTAGAAGCTGCATTAAAATACCTCTAAGAAAATATAATGAGGTGAGTTTAAGATTTTTAGATCACAGTAATTTCTGCTAAAAATCTAGTCTTTTTTCCCAATTTTCCTCATAATACTACTGAATTGTTTCAGATGAGATTTTTTTTTTTAACTATCATTGAGGGCTGACTAGACTAGAGACTTATCTACAAGACTTAAGGTACAAAATGCCAAAATTAGCTCCAAATCTGGAGTCTATACTGTATGATCATTCCATGGTCAATTCCAAGCCTAGATTTTACCAGTAAGCTCTTGGCTTTTGACTGCTGTTGATTTTTTTTTCACTCTTTGATGGACTATTTAAACTTTCAATACTGTAAACTTGAATGTATGACTAAAAATTCCCTAACAGCTCACGAAGAAAACATGCATCTCCCTAGCTGGGAACTTAACATAGGCTATAATGGGATGCAAGCACTAAATTGGGATTTGGTCACTGCTATAGCTGGTTGGCGGTGAAAGAAACCAGGATTTAAATCCATTAAATCTTTTCCTGTGAGGTTTGGCCTATCACCTGCTTCTAATGTAAGACTTGCCCTGGTCTTTTGGTATAAAGGTAAAATACATACATATTGCTTTTGCTGAAAGCTATTTGAAAAGGCTTTTTTAAGCTTCCCCACCCCCACCCCCAAATTATTTTTTCATTGTTCATTTTGCAATCATTATGCTTGGGATTATGATGGAAATGAGTTATAGATATTTGTTCTGCAGTTGAGTATCCTGTATTAATCACAAAACTTTAAGATCCTCCTAGATTTTTTCAGTGCATTTTGGATTTCCTTACAAAACCAATGGAAAAAAACTTGGCTGTGCTTAGAAGTGTCCTTACAAGCTGCCTGTGACTTCCACAGTGCAAATCTTTTTAGAAATGATTTTTAAATGTAACTAGTACTTCGGTTTTCTTCTTTATAAAGAAGTTAATACTTACAAAATGGAGGTACTGTTTTGTTTTGCTGTTCTTTGCTTTAAATAAAGCCTGTTGTCTGAAAAATATTAATTAGCTGCATATTTAACAGTAAGGGTCAGTCACCAGCTTTAGCAAAATAAAGCAAGGATTGAGGTCAGTTTTTCTCAGTGAGCATTTTGTATTGACAGGTAATGAAAGTGATAAACTCTTCTAATGAGCATGTTATTAGCATTGGAGCCTGTTTTAGTACTGAAGCAGATTCTCACTTAGTTTGTATCCAAAGTGATGATGGAACCTATCAGACACAAGCAAACAGTGGCACTGGTCACCCTAGAAGAGGTAAGAAATTTAATACATTTTTGTAATATTCAATCCAAGCACGGATCTAGCATGCACAATGAAGCAATTTTACGCTATTCCAAGGTATTTCCAAAAGCTTGATTGGCTAGAAGCGATACCTTATTTCAAAAGCTCTAAAGAGCAACTAAACAATAAAAGCATATATGAGGTAAATGTTGGATACAGTGTAAATATTAACACTTAATTATTCTTATTACCCTTCAACACTGTTACTTGTCTGTACATTTTTAAGAATGTCTATGCTTAGGATAGCATTATGTAATTAGATTAATTCAGTCTGCATTTTAAATAATGACCAGAAACTTGTAACCTTTAAAATGCAGAGTGAATTTATCATAGAATCATAGAAGTCGGGTCGGAAGGGACCTTGTAGATCTTCAAGTCCGACCCCCCTGCCTAGGCAGGAGAAAAACGGGACTCAAATGAGTCCAGCCAGGTAGGCATCAAGCCTCTTCTTAAACATCCCCAGGGTAGGAGCCAGCACCGCTTCCCTTGGAAGTTGGTTCCAGCTCCTAGCCGCCCTAACTGTGAACTAGTTCTTGCGGATGTCTAATTTAAACCTACTCTCCAATAATTTGTGTCCATTATTCCTTGTTATGCCAGGGGGCGCTAGGGGAAACAGTGTCTCCCCCAAACCCTTCTAGTCCCCCCTAGTGAGTTTATAGACAGTCACCAGGTCCCCCCTCAGCCTTCTCTTGTGAAGGCTGAACAGGTTTAGGTCCCGCAGTCTTTCACTGTAGGGTCTGCCCTGTTGTCCCCAGATCATGCGGGTGGCCCTCCTCTGGACCCTTTCAATGTTATCCACATCCCTCCTGAAATGGGGCACACAGAACTGGACGCAGTACTCCAGCTGTGGCCTGACCAGCGTCGCATAGAGGGGGAGGATCACCTCCCTGGCTGTACTTGAGATGCACCTGTGGATGCACGACGAGTTCCAGGCCAACCGTGACCTCACATTGTCAGCCCATGTTCAGGAGTCAATAATGACTCCAAGATCCCTTTCTGCCTCCGTGCTCTCAAGAAGGGAGTTTAGTTTAAACTAAAAAACAAACAGATAAATAAAAAGCTTCCCTTTTATTTATTTTTTAGATTTTAGATATGAAAAGTGTAGCAGTTTCTCTTGTGGCAAACGTAACTGTGCAGAAATTATTAATCTGAGTAACATTATGATATTTAGAACATCTTCAAAACACTATATAAACATTAGGTATTCCTGAATTTGTACAGTCCTACCAATGATCTGTAGTGATGGAGACAGGAACTGATGATGAAGTAAATGAGTGTTTCTGCAGATTTTAATGCTATTAAAAAGTAATTTTATTTAAAAATAAATAAAATTACCTACTAAAACAGTGTTCCTGAATGCTGAACCAAGTGTAAAGGTTTAACTTATAAGTAAAAAAATTGGCACTGGGTTGTTATAGTCTTCAGACATCTTTTTGGCTGCCTATGTATTGTGCAACTGCCTGCATTCTGTAGGTATGCTGTAGTAACTTAGCAAACTTAGTGTATTTCTGTAGATCTGATTTCAGATACTGAATTCCTTTGACTGTGAATTCTTATGACCTTCAGTATTACTTCCTGCAACTAAGGGAATTTTCATGAGTATTTTTGATATACCATAACACTTGATATAATGGAAATACATTTTCAAAAGCAATGTTAATAACTTAAGAGTGAACAATATGTATGTATATGTTTACTTTCTTTTTTTTAAGTTACAGGTGCAAGTTTTGTAGTGTTTAATGGGGCCCTAAAATCATCCTCAGGATTTCTTGCTAAATCCAGTATAGTTGAAGGTATGGATTGCTATATGATTTCTTGTGAAGAGGGAAACAATCACTGTTAAATGTTTTTATAAGGATTTGTCTGATTGTTAATTAAACACTACCAAGGTGAGCATGTCGTCTTCTAAAATTCACTTATGAATGAATCGTTGTGTAAGCAAACAAGCTGAAACACTTTCCTGTTTTAGGTCACCTCGTACTATATGGGTTTTTCACACCTTGTCAGTTAAACCCCTCCAGTTTGTAGGTACTTCAGAATGAAAGATGTGGAGAACTTAATTTGCTTATTTCCTGTGTTTAAACCTTTTATGTGACCTTTCATGCCTGACTGAGCTTTAATTTCAGGAAACACAATCTTTGAGCATGTGATACTAACTAGAATGAATGTCCCTCAGTCTTTCCATGTTCAACCAAAAAGCTTTTAGAATTGTTTAATTTTTTTAAAGCATTTTAAATATGACCAGGATAAAAGGCTGTATGTATTCTATTCAGCAGCTTGTCTAATTTGCTTTCCGTGAACAATTTAAAATCAGACTATGTATTGCAGTATTTTTACTAGCTGAGGGTTTATTAAAGTGCTCTTCCCTCTTTGCTGAATGTGGAAGTGGAAATTATTTATACTTTTGTTTTAGATGGACTAATGGTACAAATAACTGCAGAGACAATGGAAGGCCTACGTCAGGCTTTGAGAGACAAGAAGGATTTCAAAATTACCTGTGGCAAACTGGATGCAGGAGACCTAAGAGAATATGTAGATGTTTGCTGGGTGAAAAGTGAAGAAAAAGTAAACAAGGGGTATGAATATTTGTTATTTGTTAGACTGTCTAAGTATGCAGTCAACAGAGCTTCCTGTGGTCTTCCTGTTGACCTTGAAAATAAAGCTGAAGGTTGAAAGAATGGAATATAAATCAGTATCTGGCTATTTAAACTTGCCAAAAAGGAGAATAAAAACTGCCTGTTTGCCTCTAGATGTCACTGAGAGAACATTGGTTTTTTTGGTTTTTTTAAAGCTTGTAGTGATCTTAAAGAATAGCACTTCTCTATACTGGTCTTTTTTCCTCATATTATACTCCTAGCATCAAAGCCACAATTCGCTTACCCAGGGAAGACTAGATTGATTCCTTTATAGAGCTCAGTAATGTTATTTATAAGTCAGAAGAGCTGTGCTGTTTTTTTCAGTGTAACTTTCCATGGTTGTGAAGGTCAGAAGTCAACCAGTGTTGAAAGCCATAATTAGCTTAAGAACTAATATTTTGATGGCTTAACTAGTCCTGATTATGAATAAATCATGGTTCATGTTCAAAATGCTTAATTTAGAATTACTCTTTTTGCCTTAATCTAATGCAATAGTTTTCAGACTGAACTTGACTTGATGTGCTCTACCTAATGGTTTATAGGACCAGTGTGAATAAACAAAGAGTACTACATGGAGGTGGCCTACCAGGACTCTTTAGAAGTTTGCAAGAGAATCTAAAGGCCTAGTTTCCAAATTAGCCTTATGTCTGTTAGGTATGTTTTAGAATACGAGTGTGTATCTGGAGCAGAATTAGATTTAAGCATTTATACTGGATGGAAACTGTGCATTTTGTATCCCAAGCATCTATATATCCTAGCTTCTTTTGTCTGCATTTTGATATTTATGATGAGTCTCTAACAGTGAAGAAGTTAAAGCTAACTTTAAGAATTAGCCAACAGTTCAAGTAAGATTTTTCATGCTGAACGGCTGCTCTTTTCATATGAAAGAACACAATGGAGTTGTTAACAACTTCTTATACGCCTTATTCCATAGAGTTATCAGCCCCGTGGATGGAAAATCAATGGAAGGAATTTGGAGTGAAAAACTAGTACAAGGAAGAGACTTTGAAGCAGAAGGAAAAGTTATAAAGTGCACTGAAGTAAGTAAAAACTTATGTTGTATTAAAATGTTATGTTTCCTTATATCACCTTAAAAATGATTCTGGTTAAAAGAGAAAACTACCAGTGAAGCAATCTCAATTTGTCATGAAGCTTTAGAAATGTGCCAGTTGCTGTTCTGTGGTGCTTGCTTAAAGGAAGTATGTACATTGGATCAATGTCTTCTGTTATAACTCAATATACTTAGGAAATGTCCATTCCTGACACTCCCATGGCCATTTAATCAGTAACTGAGAGTGGGGGGGGGGGGTGTAACTTTCCACTGTATTTTTGGGAACTCTGGGCTCTTCTGTATCTTTTGGAAAGCATCTAGCACATGTTGGATACCATCCTATTTCAGGAGTAGTAAAATACCCAATATCGATATGTCAAAAAACCAGTGTTAGTATGTGTATGGTTTCTGTGTTTTAAACTAGAACAGAATAGAGCCCTGTTGTCAATTTTATTCTTCTTAGGTAGGGGTGAAGTAGGCCCTGGGCTTCTATCAGCTGCCACTGCCCCAGTAGCTGGAGTCGCTGGGCTCCCCTCCCCCTCCTGGCATCTGCTTCTCATTCCCAACCTAACGGGTGGGCAATTGTGGTGGGTTGCAGCCCAGCCCAGGGAGCTGAGGGTGAGCCTGGAGCTACGTAGGCATGCAGTGCAACAGTGGGAAGGAAACAGACATGTAATACAGCAGTGGAGAAGATGCCCAGGGAGTGGAGTGGAGGTGGGTGCCTGCATAGTATGCAGCATGGAGTTCACCCTCATGTGTCACCTGTCAGGGCATGTGGCCTCTGGGTGCTTAGAAGTTGGACAGCCCTATTCTAAGGAAAGCCACTAACCATGTTCTGTTTTAATATGATTCCAGGTATTTTATTTTCTCAAGGACCATGAACTATCTGATCTAACCTCCTCTCAGTTTGCTAAAGATCTTGCTGTAGCATGCAGTACCGCTCTTTGTCCACATCTCAAAATGCTAAAAAATAATGGAATGAACAAGATTGGACTCAGAGTCTTGATTGATACTGATATGGTAATTTTTTAATGTTTGCTGCAAACATAAAATGTTTTAAATGCTATTATTGAAAATTGTTTGGCTATAACCCCTCTAATCCTTCCCACATCCTACCATGGATGTACCTGGAAAGGATTCAGAATAGATCTGAGAACTGTTTAAGATTTTATCTAAGAAATGCAAGTTTTTATGTTGTTAGCTGCAAATTTAAACTTATGTTTTTGTTGCAGGAGAAAAATCTCTTCAGTTAGTGTTTGGTGATCAGTCACTAAGTAACAAATTGAAACATTTCTGATACATGCATGTTATTCCTGATTTGTTTGGGTCTGAACTAGCAACCATTTTGACATGCAGAAGGTAGATGATTGCTCTTCAAGCAGGAGCATTTCATATTTTTAAAGAGCAAACCTTTTGCCTGGTTAAGGAATGTTGTATTTGTGTTATGGCTTTTTTTAGTGTCTCATCCTTGGTCAATACTACTTTGTATAGTAGAAAACTTGAGCTGGAAGACGCTGGTTACACAGGGTACTTACTGTCTTTCACTCTTGTTTGTCTTGACATGTCATTGACTCGCTTTTTCTTTCAGGTTGAGTATCAGGCAGGATCTGGAGGCCACCACCTTCCTCAGCATTACCTAAATGAACTGGATGGTGCTCTGATCCCAGTGATCCATGGTGGATCATCAGACCCCACAAGTTTACCATTGGAAATGGAACTAATATTTTTCCTTACAGAATCTCTTTCTTAATGCAAACAACATTGTTTGTTATATGTGATGTACTGATTGGCTTAGATTAACTGAATACCAAAGCTTTAAAGCTAAAAAACACTAAACATTTCTAGGTTTGTTAAAGCAAAATTAAGATCAGTAATAGACATTTAAACTGGATTTTGATTTTTACAAAACTAACAAAAACTTGCGTTACCCCAGCATAAAAACAGGATTGTAGAGTTTAAGCTTTCCTAAGTTTGAGAGTTTACACTTAATAGTCACTGAAAAAGGCAAGGACTTGTTACCTCTCTAAGCAAGCTGTAGCATTTTACTTGTGTGAACTGTCAAGCCATAGTAGCTGGCTCTTGCCTCTTAACCTCAAACAAATGTTTTAGTAACAGTCCTTAAGATAAATTGTAGCTGCAATGTGACACTTGCTTTACATGCATATACAAGTGATCTGTACTTGTGGTTTGGGGTTTTATTTTTTTTTTCTTTTTAAAACTTGTGAAGGATATTTAACTGACACAGAGCTGTTTCTTGCCATTGAGGTTCAAATATAAAATCTTTGGGTTGGACTGCAAATATCAAGTGATGGTGCATGTTTGGAATCTGCCTGCATAGTCTGATAATTGATTGTGCAAGGGGAATAAACAGCAAAACTTTCACATGTTTTTTAAAGATTTTGTAATTGGGGTTGTCCTGACTTTTAAAATTGGGACAATTGATAAGTTTGGTGCTTTGGGAACTTGTGCTTCTAAACAGTTTTTTTGTATAGAATAACCAATTTCATTATGTATTTATAATGGACTTATCTCACTTAAATGGATACTATTTTTGTATTTAATTGATTATCTCTTCTTTTGTGCTCAAATGTACTATTGTATTTAGGATTTCCGAGAGTAATTTAAGAATAGGCAAGATGACCCTTAAAGTAGTCTTCATGTAGCAATAAACTAGGCTTGAAGCCTGTAATACCTTTTCTGCACCCTTCTCCAACTTTTGAGATCTCTTGGTAGCCCTCTGTTTTCAGGGAGAACAGTGTATTAAGTGTGAATTTTCCTGAACGGTTTGCTTTAGCATACTTGGTATTCTTTGTATAGCACATATTTTTGATATGGGGGTATTAAGAAATAAGATCTATTTATGTACTCCATGATGCATGTAATCTGTACCGAAATACACATTCAGTAAACTACAATCAGGTTTGATAATTGTTGCTTATCTGTTTACTATAAGCAGAACCAAAGCAAATTGTATCCAAAATCTACATTATTTGTGTGAAACATCAAAATTTTAAGAATGAGAGGTTATCACAAGCCTTTATCATCTAGATGCCTTGATTCTCATAGGGGATATTGATATGTTTTTGTATCAAAAACGCAATTTATAACTTAAAATCAAGTCAGTGCCCTTCTTACCTGCAGCTTGAAGACTCATGTTAAGAGGGAGGCTCAAGATTCAAAGTTTTTATGCAGGCAGACTGAATTAGATGCAATTTCTTGAGAGAGAGATTGCACATGGCAGGCTAGTGAAAGACACTAACGTACAGTATGAACAATACGTCCATTTTTTGGAAATGGTTAATAGGGGGGAAAGTAGCGCAAACTGTTTGAACATGAATTGTCAAATAATAAGCATAATCATGTTCTTGTTTGTCAATGTCAAATAGAGCTATACCAGAAAAGCAATTCCCAAGACTTGTCTTGATATAGTGGTCCCATAATCCATGGAATATTAGTTTGTCCCATGTCTCTTTTTAAGGGAGTGTTTAAACTCTCCATTTTAGTACATTTCAGTTCAATGATCACTAACCAATAAAACTGATCAATACGTTTAACAGATAAAATAAGATGATAATTCTTTCTTCTTTCTGTTTTATAAAAAGCCCCTGACACACACTTCTCGACTTTTTTATATTTTGTCACAAGAATTTTCTGTTTCCAGGTATTTTCTTTGTTTAGCACTGCCACTGCACCTGGAGCTCTTAGTCTGCCCCTAACCTGTATTTATACCTAAATGTGACTTGTGTGGGTATGGCCTGTAACTTTATCCGTTTCTCACCAACAAATAAATGGACAAACATTTAGGTTTCATAGTTGGCTTCTGGGTTTGGAAGAAAACAAACAAACAAACACCATTGCTCCAAATTGGAAATAAGGGGTAGCAAGCATATTTGGTGATGGATATGGATGGATGGAGGAGAAAGGCATTGCATGTCTGTCTACATAGTGGTTGTTAGAATCTGGTTTATTTCTAGTGCTTAGGAGAAGCACAAAGCAAGGGGATGTGCTTCTGCTTTGAAATTCCTCAGCTCCCTGGTTAAGAGGTGGGAGGTAGCTTCTTGGGTAGCCATTTGCAACCTGTACTTAACTGGTAAGTTTTTTGTTGTTTTTTCTTTGTTTTGAGGAGGAAAAAAACTACCTTAACCTCTGTTTTGGGGTTTCTAACCTAGTTTATTTCAAGGAACTTTTAAGTGCCCTTCTCTTCCTATCATTTTCTTTTGTAGTTGCATAGTACTGCCACTTTTCAGTCTGGTATTCAAGATGGCGTGTCCTCTTCTTCCGTATCTTAGTTTCATAGTTTCTAGGGTTGGAAGGGACCTGAGTAGATCATCTAGTCCGACCCCCTGCCATGGCAGGAAAGATTACTGGGGTCAAATGTCCCCAGCAAGGTGTTCATCTAACCTCCTCTTAAAGACCCCCAGGGTAGGGGCCAGCACCACTTCTCTTGGAAGTTGGTTCCAGATCCTAGCCGCCCTGACAGTGAAGTAGCGCCTCCTGATGTCTAGCCTAAATCTACCCTCTACCAGCTTGTGACCATGATTCCTGGTCACTCCTGGCAGTGCTTGGGGGAACAGGAACTTCCCCAGTGCCTGCTGATCCCCCCTGACTAGTTTGGAACAGGCCACTAGATCCCCCCTCAGCCTTCTCTTCTGAAGGCTGAACAGGTTCAGGTCCC